TGTTCAATCACTCACTATTTTGCAAAAAATCAAAATATCGAAAAAATCCTACGTGTGTCGATAGCCGTTGAGATACAAAAACTAACCAAACTTGATTAAGGACGTTAGGTGTTCGGCCATGGACCCTCTTTAAAAAAATAGGGCCTACGAATAAGGGCTGCAGGGCCGCCATTTTGTTTTCAATTTATTAAAAAATTTTATTGTGTACTTTAATTATAATATAATAAAACCTCATTTACAAATTTTCGATTAGCTGTTTTGATTTGGCCAAAAAAAATTCCAGAAAATCCGCTTTTTTTTGGCATGTTACTCAGATGTCCCCCCTTAAGAAATGTTGCTTTTTATACCCTTGCAGAGGGTATTATAATTTTGGTCAAAAGTGTGCAACGCAGTGAAGGAGAGATCTCCGACCCTATAAAGTATATATATTCTTAATCAGGATCACCTCCTGAGTTGATATGAGCATGTCCGTTTGTCTGTCTGTCCGTCTGTCTGTCCGTCTGTCTGTCCGTCTGTCTGTTTCTATGCGAACTAGTCTCTCAGTTTTAAAGCTATCGTCTTGAAACTTTGCACACACCCTTCTTTCCTTTGCACGCAGTATATAAGTCGGAACGGCCCGGATCGGCCGACTATATCCTATAGCTGCCATATAACTGATTGATAGGAAATGGTATAACTTTGGTGTTTTTAGAGTTAGAGAGTTCAAATTTGACATGAGAGCTATTTTTGGCAAAACGTCATGCCAAATTTCATAAGGATCGGCCGACTATATCCTATAGTTGCTATATAACTGAACGATCGGAAATGACCCAACTTTCGTGTTTTTGATGATAGAAAGCTGGCACTTGGTACACATTCTATTTTTGGTCAGTTAATCCTACCTACAAAATTTCATTAGGATCGGTTGACTATATCTTATAGCTGACATATAACTGAACGATCGGAAATGGTATTTTGTAGAAATATTAAATTTCGTATTTTTGAAGATAGAAGCTTGGGACTTTTTTTTAGAATTTTTATTGTAATTAATTGGTTTTATTATGATGTAATCATAAGGATCGGCCAACTATATCCGATGTTTGCGATATATATCCGGTTTTAGCTGCAAGGGTATATCAACTTCGGCTCCGCCCGAAGTTAGCTTTGCTTTCTTGTTTTTTTTTATTATAGTTTTGCCTTTATTTATTGAATCTACTCCTAATTTTGAGACTAACAATAAGTTGACGAATCCTAACATTAAAATTTAACTAACAGTATACTAAGACTGCATTCTGGTTGCGCGTCCCTCAGGTCGGTCGCTGGGTGGGAAAGTCATTGCGACGAAGCACCGATAGCTTGGTTAAGGGGGGACATCTGAGTAGAATTTTGAAAAAATCGAAATTTTTTTTTTTAGCTTAAAAAATTCTTTAGGGTTTTAAAAATGACATATCAAAAGATAGAGTCCGGCAAAAGTGTCTAAGTGTCTAAATTTTTCATTCTGCGGCGATGCCTCACAGGTATATCCCTCAGTACTTAAAACTTTAAACGCGTTTTTCTCAAAACCGCTTTTTTTGAGTTGGCCGAACACATAACTCGAACAACTCTTAACCTATCGATCTAAAATTCACAGTATATTCAGAATACCAATGTCTATCGAAACACGTAGGATTTTTTTTTTATTTTGCTTACTTTTTTTTAAACAACAATTTTGTGACGTTTTTGTTCGTGAAAATGGAAAATTTTGTTCAATCACTCACTATTTTGCAAAAAATCAAAATATCGAAAAAATCCTACGTGTGTCGATAGCCGTTGAGATACAAAAACTAACCAAACTTGATTAAGGACGTTAGGTGTTCGGCCATGGACCCTCTTTAAAAAAAATAGGGCCTACGAATAAGGGCTGCAGGGCCGCCATTTTGTTTTCAATTTATTAAAAAATTTTATTGTGTACTTTAATTATAATATAATAAAACCTCATTTACAAATTTTCGATTAGCTGTTTTGATTTGGCCAAAAAAATTCCAGAAAATCCGCTTTTTTTTGGCATGTTACTCAGATGTCCCCCCTTAAGAAATGTTGCTTTTTATACCCTTGCAGAGGGTATTATAATTTTGGTCAAAAGTGTGCAACGCAGTGAAGGAGAGATCTCCGACCCTATAAAGTATATATATTCTTAATCAGGATCATCTCCTGAGTTGATATGAGCATGTCCGTTTGTCTGTCTGTCCGTCTGTCTGTTTCTACGCGAACTAGTCTCTCAGTTTTAAAGCAATCGTCTTGAAACTTTGCACACACCCTTCTTTCCTTTGCACGCAGTATATAAGTCGGAACGGCCCGGATCGGCCGACTATATCCTATAGCTGCCATATAACTGATTGATCGGAAATGGTATAACTTTGGTGTTTTTAGAGTTAGAGAGTTCAAATTTGACATGAGAGCTATTTTTGGCAAAACGTCATGCCAAATTTCATAAGGATCGGCCGACTATATCCTATAGCTGCCATATAACTGAACGATCGGAAATGACCCAACTTTCGTCTTTTTGAAGATAGAAAGCTGGAATTTAATACAGATTCTATTTTTGGTCAGTTGATCCAACCTATCAAATTTCATTAGGATCGGCCGACTATATCCCATAGCTGCCATATAACTGAACGATCGGAAATGGTATTTGGTAGAAATATCAACTTTCGTATTTTTGAAGATAGAAGTTTGGGACTTTTTTTTAAATTTTGTATTGTAATAAATTGGATTATATATTCCTATTCCCATAAGGATCGGCCAACTATATCCGATTTTTGCGATATATATCCGGTTTTAACTGCAAGGGTATATAAACTTCGGCTCCGCCCGAAGTTAGCTTTCCTTTCTTGTTTTAATTTACTGTCTATTCGTTTTTAAAATTTATTATAGATCGCCAAAGAGATTTCTTTGACTTCAATAATGTTTTAAGTATGTCGCTGGCTGGTTAGCTGGTTGTAACGAATGCGTACAGTTAGTCATAAGGCAAGGTTCAGTTAACTATCCCTAGCACTGCACGGGTGGTCTCTGCCGCGCCCCTTTGTCAAAAGGGGCGTGGGTGTGGGCACGGCAAACTAGATCGTGTACGTTACGGAAATCGTCGTAGACAAAGATAAGGAAGTTGGAAAGGAAAGCGGTAGGAGTAGGCCGATCCTTGAGTGGTTGATTCTACTGACCCTAATGAAGGAAAGACTAGATATTGTGGTCCTTCGTCTATACCCTCCCTTCCATGTAGACTTTACACCAGTGGTCGGCACCCCAATACATTGATATGATTTTACCGCATTAGTGTTAGTTCCGAATAGCAGAAAGTAGGCTGTGAGAATGACGTTTCACACATTTATACTGTGTCTGTGTGGCAGAGCTCGGGCAGAGAAATTTGCTAAGCCCGCAGGATAGGGCCGTGCCAACCACTGCACTAAACAGTGGGGTCTACCCATATTCAACTGCCATGTTGGGATCCAAAGTGCTCTAAGTAAAAGAATTTATTATACATAATATAATACTAAAACATTGACATGATTTTAACGCATTAGTATTAGGAATAGGAGAAAGTAGGCTGTGAGCATGACGTTCCACACATTTATACTGTGTGTGTGGCAGAGCTCGGGCAGAGACATTTTCTATGCCCATACTTCTTAGGGTTAACATTTATGCGATATTAAAAAAATTAAAAATTTATAATATTAAACTAAAAGAAAATTTTACATATTTTAAATTATTGTGGGAATCGGCGCAAATTTGGCGCAACAATCGAGGTTCACCGTGGAAGTAGTTGCGCAATTCAATATTGCCGAAAGTATTCACAAACACATGCTCGCAGGTATAGTTTTCTTACTTTCTTTTTGTTTTTCTTTTCTTATTTGTCCTACTCAGGCCCACACAAAAAATATAATAACGAAAACTCGTACTCTAATACATTGAGGCTGCCCGCTAAAGTAATGAACGCATTTGAGCTGCAGCGGCAACAGCTATTTCTTTTTGAGGCTATTCTACACCTTCATCCTCCCTACTGCATGTTTATTTTAGGGCTTCACTCGTGCTGGGCTGCTCTACGTCACACTATCGGCGGTCCAGGAGAAGATCAAAGTTGGGTCACCCATTGTTTCCATGGGGGGTTGATTCAACCTTACCCCACCTAAACCCAAATTCAAACGGAAAGCCTATCAGGCTGCACCTGGTCAGAATCGTCGTAAGGCTGTGCCACCTCACAAGGGATTGGTTTTGTTGTATTTTGGAACTATTTGAATATTATCTCACATTATAAATTTTCTCCCCCAATACGAATCACTATTGTTTTAAACTTTATTTTAGGCTAAATTGCCTTAACTGCACAAGGGTTTTTATGTATGTCTGTATGGGGTTTTCCTTATTTAAGCACTACACGTTTCTTGGCAGAATTCCTTACTCCTTCACTTTCCTCGGCCAAAGATCTTAAGGGAATAGATGCTAAGAACGTGCTAAAATCCATTCCCGTGCTTTCGTAAGGCTTCCCTACCTAACGGAGTAATCGTATAATTTTCTACCTACTTTGGTCCTGTTCCCATCTATTGGGTGGATACAGTAAAGGGAAGAAATATTGGCCTGCCTAGATATTTGTTTTTATCTTGGAATAAGGTGCATTCTCGTAAGGCACCTCTTACGATCTATAGTCTAATTGACCTTTGAAACTGCCTTATATTTATGGAACTTTATTTTGAAGTCCTGACTTAATGACACAAGGAAACACCAATCAACGCGATGGATAATAATATATTTTTTATTTACAATCAGCAAAAAAGAACCGGAAAATTAATTTCCAAAGTCGCTTAACAAAAATGATATTCAATTTTAAGTTTTAAGCGTTGCCACCTATCACCAATTTATGATTGAGACTGAAATGGCGTTTATGCACAAATGAATCGGCTGATATCGTTAAATGAAAGCGTGCAATCGGCATCGCAGAAACACAGAAATAAATAGCTTGCTCAAGTATATACAAAAAATACAAAATTACATACCTCTCTAGTCATTACCACTAAGGTAATATTAGCGATATTGGAGTCATAAAACGCATTGGGGTCGGATATGTTAACACCTCCATCAGGGTCCCAGTATCCGACTTTTTGAATGCTTTCTTGCTTCAATTTAAGAATATCCAGCTTAAATTTGGATCGACGACCTTCCACAAAAAATAAATTACCGGTTAATCCATCCGTGGAAGCCTGTAAAAACATAGTAAAATTAATTTATTTATACAGGATTGTTTCAAGGAATCGGACAAATGGAAATACAAGATAAACAGCATAGCTTAAAACTGATTCTCTGCAGCCTAACAAAATAATAAAAAATTAGCGCGCTTATCGCACTCAAGAAAGGGTCACGTAATATGTCAGCGTATAGTGCGTTGATAAGTATTTTTAAATATATTTAATATTTACATGTATGTTTTTTTTATAGAAAATGGTTTAAGTTTAAGTTTTTACCCAGTTTAGTTTTTAACGAAACTCAGAGAGGTAACATATTTTTATACCCTTAAATGGTATTATAATTTTGGTCAAAAGTGTGCAACGCAGTGAAGGATATATTCTTATATATATTCTTGATCAGAATCACCTCCTGATTTGATATAAGCATGTCCGTCTGTCTGTCCGTCTGTCCGTCTGTCTGTTTCTACGCGAACTAGTCTCTCAGTTTTAAAGCTATCGACTTGAAACTTTGCACACACCCTTCTATTCTTTGCACACAATATATAAGTCGGAACGACCGGGATCGGCCGACTATATCCTATAGCTGGCATAAAACTGATTGATGGGAGATGGTATAACTTCGGTGTTTTTAGAGTTAGAGAGTTCAAAATAATTTTTACATAAAAGCTACTTTTAGCAAATTAATACGACATGCCAAATTTCATATAGATCAGCCGACTATATCCTATAGCTGCCATATAACTGATTGATGGGAAATGGTATAACTTTAATGTTTTTAAAGATAAAGAGTTCAAATTTGACACGAGAGCTATTTTTGGCAAAACATTAGAACATGCCAAATTTCATAAGGATCGGTCGACTATATCTTATAGCTGCCATATAACTGTACGATCGGAAATGGTTTTTGGTAGAAATATCAACTTTGGTATTTTTGAAGATAGAAGTTTGGGACTTTTTTTAGATTTTGTAGTATAATAAATTGGGTTATATTATCATATTCTTATAAGGATCGGCTAACTATATCCAATGTTTGCGATTTATATCTGGTTTTAACTGCTAGGGTATATAAACTTCGGCTTCGCCAGAAGTTAGCTTTCCTTTCTTGTTTTAGTTTCATTTTTTTTTAAAATTGGTTATATTCTGATATAGGATCGGACAACTCTATCCGATGTTTGCGATATATATCCCGTTTTAACTGCAAGGGTATATAAACTTCGGCTCCGCCCGAAGTTAGCTTTCCTTTCTTGTTATTTTGGAAGTAGGTCGGAAGCAGTAGGAACTTAACAGTAGAAGCTATTAATAACAAGAAAGAAAAGCTAACTTCGGGCGGAGCCGAAGTTTACATACCCTTGCAGTTAAAACCGGGTATATATCGCAAACAGCGGATATTTGGCTGATCCTTATGATTACATCATAATAAAACTAATTAACTAAAATAAAAAATCTAAAAAAAGTCCCAAACTTCTATCTTCAAAAATACGAAAGTTGATATATCTACCAAGTACCATTTCCGATCGTTCAGTTATATGGCAGCTATAGGATATAGTCGGCCGATCCTAATGAAATTTGGTAGGTTGGATCAACTGGCCAAAAATAGAATCTGTATTAAGTTTCAGCTTTTTATCTTCAAAAACACGAAAGTTGGGTCATTTCCGATCGTTCAGTTATATGGCAGCTATAAGATATAGTCGGCCGATCCTTATGAAATTTAGCATGTCGTAATGGTTTGCCAAAAATAGCTCTCGTGTCAAATTTGATCTCTCTAACTCTAAAAACACCGAAGTTATACTATTTCCGATCAATCAGTTATATGGCAGCTATAGGATATAGTCGGCCGATTCGGGCCGTTCCGACTTATATACTGCGTGCAAAGGAAAGAAGGGTGTGTGCAAAGTTTCAAGTCGATAGCTTTAAAACTGAGCGACTAGTTTGCGTAGAAACAGACAGACGGACAGACAGACAGACGGACAGACGGACCGACGGACAGACGGACAGACGGACATGCTCATATCAACTCAGGAGGTGATCCTGATCAAGAATATATATACTTTATAGGGTCGGAGATGTCTCCTTCACTGCGTTGCACACTTTTGGACAAAATTATAATACCCTCTGCAAGGGTATAAAAAAAAGCGCCATACAATTTTTACTTATTTCATGGTTCATTAAATTTGATTAATTCGCTGCAGATGGTTAAAATTTATTGAACATTAACGACTAACAAGAAGTCTTACTAGCAGTCATATCGACTGATACAGAGTTAGACGGCCCTAAAAATCGATTGCTGGATTGGTAGGTCGTTGCACCGCAGGCGGGATTCGCCAGAAACCATATCCAATCCCCGAGCGAGAAAATTAAGGTGCGAAGACGGTTTTTCTTGTAGGACTTATTGCTTCTGGATTTCATCTTTTACTGCCGGTGGATGTTTTTGTTGCAAACATACCAAGGTTCCCCAGTGATAGTTCTCAAGATTTTTTATTGTGCGCACTGTATAATGTCTATGTTTCTGCTCCTAGCGTTCCACCACAGCTTGAAGCAATACGTCTAGATTGTTTTTAGGACTGAATTGTAGAGTTGTTTCTCGTAGTGGCACTGAGAATACCCTATTGTAGAGGTACGACTCAAGTCAGGGTGTATGTTGGAAAATTGGTTTTTTTTTTTGCGTGAATTCATTATGCCAAATTCGGTCGAAAGTTTGTAGCCAAAGGTCATAGAGATAAATAGCGCTACAGTAGCGCTCTCATTGTTCGAAGGCTGTGGGTATTTCTGATGTTGTTTGTTCATTTGCTCGATGATTCCATGGTTTCTTCGGAAGCTAAATTGGTGTGCCAAAACAGTATTAAAAGCTTCCAGATATAAATAATGCGGAATTGTCAAAACAAGGCTTATTGGTCTGTACGATGATGGAATTTCGTGGTCTTTTCCAGTCTTCGGTATCATTTAATAATAGATAGATTTTTTTCTTACCAATTTCTTTCAAATAGCCAAAAATTTGTCTGGAGGAAACTTTGGAGGTATATACCTAATATTTCGGCTTTGTCTTTTTCGCTGCGAGCTCAGGGATACTTTTTACTTGTTCGTGAAAGATTCTAGATGTACCGCAGCTATATATTTTCTTCCTATTTATAAAGAGTTTTGTCACGTGGTCGAGTTGCTTCCGTAGGGCGTTGCTTTGAAGCTGGACGCATGCGCTTCTTTTCTCGCACAAGTTATTTGACTTGTTGGTTGGATTTTTGGATTTTGTTTGGGCCTAGCTGCCGCAACGAGTACCTTTTCCAGGGCGCCCATAGTTAAGTCGATGTCCCAATTAAGCTCCGGGGCGAGTTCGATTTGGGCACTTACGTACTTTTTGTATTTAAGCCAGTTAGTTTTTGGAGACGTCAGGCTAAAAGGGTGTTCGGTTTTTTCTGGGCTTTGAAGAAACGTAAAGAGCACAGGTGATTGGTCTTATGATAAGTCCGAAGCAGCTTTGGCACTTATGTGCCAAACTTTGGCACTTATGTGGACTGGGAGCTCTGGGAGCTTTCGTGGGTCTGTTGGCCAAAAGTACCAAGCTCTCATCTTCAAAAATACCAATTTTGGAATTTCTATCAAATATCATTGTAGTTCGTTCAGTTATATGACAGATATGGGATATAGACGGCGGATCCCAATGAAATTTGGTAGTTCCAACCATTAAGGGTTTGGGATCTCTAATCAATCAGTTATAATGCAGCTATAATCGATGCAACTTATTCACTGCGCGTAAATAAAAAAAGGATGTGTCGCTAAAAAGGCTTTAAAAATGAATGATTAGTTTGCAGACTAACGGACAGACGTCAAAGTCATCACGGGGCACTAGCCAATGCTAGGCGAAATAATTCATCCACACCGACTACTGGTGCAGCCGGAAGTATCTCAGACTATCAGATCTAGGTGTTCCTTCCTTACCAACATCTCATAGGTGACAGAAATATATCCAAATATGTTAGGATACAATAATTTACCAAGGGATATTATAAGGCACCGAACACAGTCGTAGTGTGTCGGAGTTTCTTTAGGAAAGACCGCAAGTTGTGTTAGGCTTACCTAACCTAACATTAAGTTATATGTTCATATAATATAAGGGTGGCCCACAAAAGATTTAAAATCGCTATAAAAAAAACAACAAGTATACAGCCCTAGTCAAAATTATTTTCACTACAGACAACTATTTGCACATCCCAAAATCTTTTAGTTGTTATTCTTGTTGTTCTTTAACAATTTCCTTGAAATAAATGTTATCGCGTAGCTTGATCTATGTTGAAGCGACACAAAAATATATGCGAAAGATAGCGGTTCATAGGACAAAGCTAAAAGAAAAAAAACAAGAAAGGAAAGCTAACTTCGGGCGGAGCCGAAGTTTATATACCCTTGCAGTTAAAACCGGATATATATCGCAAACATCGGATATAGTTGGCCGATCCTTATGGGAATAGGAATATATAATCGAATTTATTACAATACAAAATCTAAAAAAAGTCCCAAACTTCCATCTTCAAAAATACGAAAGTTGATATTTCTACCAAAAACCATTTCCGATCGTTCAGTTATATGGCAGCTATGGGATATAGTCGGCCGATCCTAATGAAATTTGATAGGTTGGATCAACTGACCAAAAATAGAATCTGTATTAAATTCCAGCTTTCTATCTTCAAAAACACGAAAGTTGGGTCATTTCCGATCGTTCAGTTATATGGCAGCTATAGGATATAGTCAGCCGATCCTTATGAAATTTGGCATAACGTAATGTTTTGCCAAAAGTAGCTCTCTTGTCAAATTTGAACTCTCTAACTCTAAAAACACCAAAGTTATACCATTTCCGATCAATCAGTTATATGGCAGCTATAGGATATAGTCGGCCGATCCGGGCCATTCCGACTTATATACTGCGTGCAAAGGAAAGAAGGGTGTGTGCAAAGTTTCAAGACGATAGCTTTAAAACTGAGAGACTAGTTCGCGTAGAAACAGACAGACGGACAGACAGACGGACAGAC